TCCTCGTACGACGAATTTCGTCTGCCACCAAATCGCGCGTGGCCGCGACCCCCAAAGCCACCACGATTCCCACCGTTACTGCCGTCTCGACCCTCGAGCCTGCCGCGGTTCGTTTGATCGCGTCGCATCATCGTTTGCAGAGCCTCTCGGAAGTCCTTCATGCCCGCCGTCAGGTCCGCCATCTCACAGCCAATAGCCTGAAATTGCCGCCCGAAACCCTCGCCTTGTCGCATGAGAGATTCGATTGCGGCATCTCGCTTGTCGTCAGCCGTGTCGTTCGTTTTGGGGGGCATCGTGGATCGTAGCTGATCTCTGGATACCAACTGATGTAGTGCAGTGTTAAACGAAAAGGGAACAAGAGATAAATCTCAAGATCTGGTAAAATTATTCATAAACAACCAACGTCTTCTAATGAAAGAGACGATATAAATAAAGTTCCAACTAGTCCTAATCCTTAATTTGCTAAGTAAGTAAATAATAATAACTTAAGAAAAGAGAATAAAGCATAATAATAAAATATCTAGGAGATAAATAACTAAACTAAAGATGGTAAGGGCTTGATTGGTTATGAATTATTTCATACTCAAAATCTAACTCAACTTTAACTCAACTCCACTATCTTTAATATTATTCATATAATTGAATAATACAAACCAATCATTCTTACACATCACATCAACTTCATTTCACTATTCATTCACTCACATAATTTTAACTATCAATCATTTCTAATCATTTATCTCCTATTTTTACATCAAATCAATTTTAATTATTTTATTTTAAATATTATTATAATACATTCTTAAAATTCCACTAACAACTAACCATACCACCTTTTTCAAAATTAACTATGGTTAACCAAAATAATTCATTTTGAACAAATTATTTCATAAACAATCACCTCCTAAACAATCATATTTTTCCATAAATGCTAATGCGATCTCGTCTCCATTAGCCCCCATACTTGATTTTCCTTCGAGCCCAGTTGAGATGACCAAATCTGCAAAATGTTGATTAAACAGAATAATATGAAGAGAGATTACAAAAGGAGGGCGAATTTTTTGAAATGACGCTCAATTTTCACCATTCGCTGCCAAAGAATAATATGAAGAGAGATTACAAAAGGAGGGCGAATTTTTTGAAATGACGCTCAATTTTCACCATTCCCTGCCAAAATTTTGCCCAGCCTCCGAGGTAATATCACTACCAAATAAATTAGATTTGGATGAGTTGACTTTCAAACAAGCTGTAGAAAACTAGAAAGCGAGCTTCATGATTTGGAGATTTAATTTATTTTTGTCAGCATAAAAGAGTTCGTAACATTATGGATTAGATAATAATTTTTGTACTAAATTTTATGGCTCCATATTTTATTGTTTAGTTGCCAAATAAGTTAGTTTATAACTTATTTGGTTACCTTATAAACTTTTTGTATTCAAATATGTCTCGTTTGGTAGGACGAGTTTAAAGTTCGAGCTTATCTCATAAACTATTTTAAGTAACTTTTCAAATAAGATAATTGATTTTTTTATTTTAGTTTTATCAATTTTAGTTAGAGTCAAAACTATCTCTCCTTCCGTTAAAATCCCATCCCTCATACGTTTGAACCTTAGCTTTCACATTGATAATGGTACGTGGCATCACATTTATCCCCAAACAAACGTCTCATATTCTTGTAAACACTGTAAGGAAGAAAGAATGAAGGTGCAGCAGCAGCTTCCCACTTCCCACTCCACCACAATTACTCACCTGCAACTGCAAACCACAACATGTTTGATCAAACGGCCGTCCTCTTTTTCATTCACCACACCCCACTCGAAAAATTCACTCTTTCGTAGCCGTCAAATTTTGCGCGCCAGGGCTTTTGATACAGAGGGAGATGAGAAGAAATCCTTAGCTGAGGAGAAGTATCCAATTGGTAGGGCTTTTGATACAGAGAGAGATGAGAAATCCGTAGCTGAGGAGAAGTATCCAAGTGGTGACTTCGTTTACACAGAGTACGGCTTCTTGAAAAAATTGTCTGTGAAGCTTAAGATGCTTATTGCATGGCCTTGGGAGCGTGTCAAAAAGGGCAGTGTGCTGACCTTCAAATTACGCGGGGAGGTGGGTCTGTTTCCTTTCTATTTTGTTGGGATGAATAAAAATTCTATCTAAGAACAAAATTCCTGCGAACTTTAAATGCGTTACAGTTCTAAGGGGAATGTTACTGAGGGGGGCTTTTAAGTGAACATGAATATATGGAAATCTTGTGGGGAGTTTTGGTACTAGCTAATGAGGAATATGAAATTAGCAACTGTGATTTTATATTATTGCACATTACCCTATTTCTAACACCACCACTATGAGCAGGGTAATTCATCGAATTTGATTTTTGAAATATGTTGGCTCTGAGTTGCTTGTTTATGCTACCTCTACCGGGAGCAAAAAGTTCATGAATATTTCTTACCAATTAGACATTATATATGGTATACACTCTTATGTACTTCTCATTCTCTCATGTACTCAATGTGCATTTCTGAGAATCTGTATCTTGTCTTGACATGCTCAGTTATTTTTATGTTCTTGGATGTTAGTTTTAGATGTATGTCATTTACATAATTTCTGTTAGTTATCTTTAAAATGTCTTCTCTCTGTTTTACTATCGATAGATATCTGATCAACTGAAGAGCGGTTTCTCCTCAGTGTTATCTTTACCTGAAATTTGTGAGAATTTTATCAAAGCAGCATATGATCCCCGTATTTCGGGTATCTACATCCACATCGAGTATTTGAGTTGTGGGTGGGGAATGGTTGAAGAAATTCGCAGACACATATTGGATTTTAAGAAATCAGGTAGTCACTATCACAATTGGTGTTATCTTTAAATTGTGGAATTATGTTGTTTGCGATGGACTAAAGAAATGAGACTGGATGAGAAATAGTTTTGAATGTTTATATGATCAACTTTTCTGATTTGACGTGTGTATGATTTGTACTTGTGATGATAACACAAATTATGATGATCCCATAAGCCTATTTGACACTATGGATCAGTGAACACTAAGGTGTATGGACTATTCATCCCGCAGAAAATGCTCTTTGAGTCAAACTACACGCATTTCGAACTGATCAAAAGATTGTCCTGTATTTTTACTACTAGTCTGGCTGATATACATTTCATGACCAAGCTTGTTTCCATTTGGAGGAGTTGGTAATCTGTCAAACATATGGAAAAACAGGGATAACTTGCTCAATTTGAATAAAATGTGAAAAAAATGTGCTAAACAGCAGTAGTTGGTGAAACCAAATGACGACTCATGCCTCCCTTTCAATTAGCTTGATACCATCGTTTACTATGCTCATGATGGTTCCATAGTTATAACAGTATTGGCCAGGCTTATACACTATCTTTAAGAGAGGTTAAGTTTGATGAGTACTCGGTCCCCCTATACTTTGCATGTGGGCTTGTATGACAATAGGGTTTGTACGAACAATGTCAGAACCTAGGAGCGAGTTCGTTTCTAGTTATAGCCTTTTACTTGTACGTTTTTTTCATTTGCATTGGAAATACTGAGCTAATTGCACAAATAACTTCTGTATGACTTTTTCGTATAATGAATAACACTAGTGCGACACTTGTGTACTACACGGGTGTCGAATAAAATAATTATGCAATAAATAATCATTAAGATTTTATATTTTGTACTTTTAAGTTAAACTAATATATTTTATATGCGAACAATAAAAAAGTAAGAGTTATATTTTTTATTTCAAATTTCGTGAACTTCTCTACATAGAACATTAGTAATATATTTACATTATTTTCATTCGTGTTGCAACACAAAATTTTTAAGCATTTCTTACTTTTAACTCTGTTTTCAATATTGTACATGTCCTGAGTATTTGTTCATCCAAAAATAAGCTCCATTTCGGATCATGTTCTTGTTATTTTGAAAATCATTTAAGAGGCTTCTTGCTAAGATAAAGTTGGAATGCGCTTTAAGTAAATGAATATTTTGCTACATTAATGAAAAACTTTATTTAACAGTAAAGAAAGATAATTGCGCACATATTTGCGACCTCTTAGGCTGTGCTGCTGCTGTGTGAGGACTGAAATTTCTTATTTCTTGTATTCCATATTTCTAATTCAGATGGTGCCACAATATAAAATTTGCGTAGTTTACCATCAGAAGTGAAACTTTGCTTCTGAGAGTTACTCAAATCTCTAGATAGTTTTCTAACAGGATGAAGCTTTTAATAGGGGAAATTTTTTATGGATCAAATTTGATAATTAGGTCTCCTTGATGAATGAAACTTCATATGTTCAAGTAGTTTATCTGCACTGTCTTGAAAAGTGATCCAGATGAAATGTGTGCTGCAATATGCAGGCAAGTTCATTGTGGGTTATGTGCCAGTATGTAGTGAAAAAGAATATTACATAGCCAGTGCTTTAAACGAGATTTATGTCCCTCCGGATGCTTACTTTCAATTGTATGGACTGACTGTTGAGGCATCATTCCTTGGAGGTGAGTTCTTCTTCTTCTTCTTCTTCTTCTTAGCATTGGCGTTGATTAAATTTGAGACAATTGTAAAATACTATTCTCCTACGCCCTCCCCCCATGTGGAGATAAATAAAGATCTACTGCAAGGTGTCTGACTAATGCGAATTGTGCAGTGCACTTTTCATATAATTATTATCTGTTGAGTGGCATTTAACAATTGTTTTGTAGGTGTCCTGGAGAAAATTGGGATTGAGCCACAGATTGAACGGATTGGTAAGTATAAAAGTGCTGGGGATCAACTTACTCGTAAAAACATATCTGAGGAAAACCGTGAGATGCTGACTGCTTTGCTAGACAACGTTTATAGAAATTGGATAGGAACAGTCTCACTTGCCAAAGGTAATTTTCCAATGGGTCTTTTGCCTCACACCCAAGCAGGAGGAATTTGCCTTCTATCTTGTTTCCTTTTGCAGGAAAGGAGAAAGAAGATGTTGAGAACTTTATCAATGAAGGTGTATTTCAAGTTGAAAGACTTAAGCAAGATGGGTGGATAACAGATATGAAATATGATGATGAGGTACAAGTTGCATAGGTCTTAACTTCTGGAATCTTGGTTGCATACTGGATAACTCGTAAGTCTTCAAGCACCAAACTGAGATAAGTAAAAACATATTTTTCGAAGTGCTTCTACGGCAGTGCTTATCTCTGTTTAGTTTGTGAAGAGATACATATAAAAAGAATATTTATTTGCATCTGTTAAATGGTATATTACAGAGAGACCAAGAGAGCATATTTAGTTAGATGCACTATAAAATACAATTTATTATTTTTTTATGTAATACTTATGCATTTGATGTCTATAACTCATTGGAAGACACCAGTTACCAGTGAAGGAGAATGCATCTCAAAGTACCTGAGAACTTGGGCTGCAATTGAATATAATTTCATTGTGGTCATTTCCTTTCCTCTAGGAGTAGCAATAAAAGAATTTATTGGGAGAAAATGATGAGTGTTGAAGTTCGTGGATGAATATAACGTTGAAATGTAATGATTAAATTTAATTTGATTTAAGAATAATGAAATAATAATAATTAAAAATGATAAGTTGTTAGAAATATGTAGGTGAGTCAATAGTTTGTGGAATTTTGGTGATGATTTGGTTCTCTCTTGAAATTGTGTAGTTCATGAGAGAAAATATGAGAGTGGTTGTTTAATTCAAAAGATTTTTATACCAATCACAAATTTAGTATTTTTCCTTCAAGTGAAACAAAGATGGATTTTTACAGATCCATTCACATCATTGGCTGTCCAACAGGTATGGAGATTAATTCTGATTGTTGGACTATTGTAATCTGAGATAGTGTTCTATCTGAGGTTGAACTAAGGACTAGACCTAGTGTAGCAAATGCAATCCCCTTGATATGTCCTTGCAGTATCTTTACATGTACAAGACGCAACAATTACTACTCCATTAACCAAATGTACCAGAATGCAATGTAAATATAACTGAGGGAAGCAAACTTCACTCAATGTTGTTAATGAAAGTTGTCCTCTGGTGTTTCTAGAAGCACAAAACTCCCATGTTAATGACCAGTTGTAGTTGGAGAACAAAAGCCATTGAATAATCTATGCTCCTTTCTTTCTTGTCCTGTTGTTGCCCAGATATAGAAGCAGTCTATCCTTGTCATATCTTGTTGCTTTGGTAACTTTGTTTTTGCAATTTATTGTTACGACGGTTACATTGTATTTGATTCATTTTATTATTGTGGGGTCTTATTCGGAAAAGATTCTATCACTTCATTGTTCATTTACATATATTCAGTGAATCAATGTTTCAGGTTTTGTCACTGCTAAAAGAGCGTTTGGGAATCGCTAGTGATAGAGAACTTCCAACAGTTGACTATAGGTAAGTACTCCTTTTACTGAATTTTATCTTATCATCACGTCCCGGTACTTTATGTTTCAGGTTTCCATTCTTTCTCCATGTTTTAACCTTCTTTTAGGGTAGGCATTGGAAATTTTTGGACTTTGCATCAATATCCCGTGTTCTTAAATATGTTTCTAGTGGAATATACATTGAATTTTTAAATATGCTCTAAAGTTGTTCATGTAGTCAATCAATCTAGAATTTCCTCTTTTCTCAAGAATCCATTGTCAACACCTATATTTTGTATACATATTATTAATTTTTTTTATTATTATTTTTAAAAATTTTATACTTGTGCATATATATATATATATATATATATATATTTAATAGCATGAGTTTCTGATGGAAAAGATCATATTAATTAATTAACTTTCATTTATGTTCCTTTGCTTTCATAGATACTAACACACATTTCCATGCGATGATGTGATGCACGAGTCTGNCTTCAATTCAGTAATTGAAGTGGTTCGACAAACAACTTGTTTGTTTGTCCTTTCAATACCACGTACTTAATGCTTGTAATAATTGTTTACACCATTTTTTTAGCATAAATTTTTTAAATTGTGAGGCAAATATTCTAAAATTTTATCTCATGTTATTTTATGCCAATAACTCGTATAGGATTAGAAAGAAGATGATGTACATGATGCTTCAAATATTGTTAACACTTACTTTTGTATTATCAACATAGATTCTACAAATCTATGTGGAAAATATACAAGAAATAATATTTCACATTTTTTATGCAAACAAATTAATTTATATATATTTTATAATATTTTATAAGAAACTTGTTGGGCTTTCATTAATTTAAAATTGGTATTGGTAGATGAACATTTGTGTAATTTATATCAAGTAAATACTTATTTTATTATTTTAAATATGAAATATTGGTATCAAATCAAACTTGATGAAAGAAGATTAACTTTGCTGATGAAGACTTTATTAAGTTTTTATTTGAAAAAGTAAAAGATATGAATATCAATTTAAAAACAGAAAGAAAAAAAGTAAGAAAAAATAGTATGTTAGTTAAGTCAAAACATGAGAAGAAAAATAATTAGAAATAAAATATTCATTTTTAACTAATATGTTCCAATATATACCAATCTCTAATGCAAATGGATTTTAAAAGAATACTATTGTAGTATGTAAAAAATCCTTTTTAGTATGTAAAAAGAAGCTGAAAAACTCCCGCTAAAAATGACATGTCGTTAGTCTTATTATGGATGTAGATGCTAT